GCAAAGCCTACCTTGAAAGAACTCGTTACTCGTCTGGTAAACCACAGTCGCCTTGTAGCCGTCATTCTCGATCGCCCCGAGCAAATCCCACAAGGAGTCTATCGGCTTCTCGAAGGTCGGAACCGCCAAAACGGCCGTGAGTGTTCCCGCGTAGAGAGCTGGAACAAAGGGACGTTCGTATGAATGACCGTTATTTCCGTTGGATTTTCGGTTTTCGGTTTTCTTGTTTCTTACTGTTTGTAGTAGTTCGGTTTTCTTGTTTTTTCTTGTTTGTAGTAGTAATAGTGGTGGTTATTGTTATGATTTTCTTTTTTAGCTTTTCTTCTCATCATTACTTCTGGTCTTATTAGTACTCTTTTTCTTTTTCACTCCATACCTCCCTCCTAACCCTATAGCCCCTCCGAACCCCAACATCCCTTCCCAACCGCCAAAAACTAACCATAGACCACAAAGCAGAAGAAGAACCACGTGAACAGGACGAAGCGATGCGACCACTGCTCCATCTCCGCCTTGTTTCCCTGCACGACCATCGAGCGGTACATGTTGAAGGAATAGTTCGAGAGGGAGTCGGCCCGCCATATCCCCTTGAGAACGAGCTCTTCCTTGGCCACACTGATGAGCCAGAGGATGGGACCCACCAGGAGGGTTGCTAGGGAGAGGAGGCCCCATACCTGGAGGGAGAATTGGGGGCGTTAGGTGGGAGGGTGGATGGGGTGGGGTGAGGGAAGGAAGGTGGGTGGGGTGGGGTGAAGGAAGGAGGGGGGTGGGGTGGGTGAGGGATGGAGGCTTGGTGGGGTAAAGGTAAGGGGGAAGGGTGAAAGGTGAGGGAGGTGGATGGGTAAAGGGGAAGGAGCATGGGCGAGTGAAGGACCATGGATAAGGGGTGCAGCATAAATGAAAATTCAATAATTTTTAAGTAAAGTTATCAGCCATAGAACAAGAAGCGAAAACATGAGCGCCGTGGCTCACCTCAGCAGTAAAAGGCGAGAACACAGCGAAGGCCCTGTTCTTCTCCGCCGGCGCCGGGGACACGATAGTCGTTGATTCCAGGAAGTAAGGCAGAGTGAAGTCGACGACCACCTCACGCGGTCCTGGAACAAGAACGATTGGAAAAGGAGGCAATTTTCATGTTGAAAAGACATTATTAAGAGTCAGAACGAAAGAATAAGGGTGATGTGACAAATTTGGGGAGTTTCGAAATCTTCAAGGAATTAGGATGAAGTGACGTCTTCGAGTCTTCAACACAGAATAGTTACGATAAAAAATAATCTGACTTTACTAATAGTGATTATGATCGAATCTTAGATTACAAATTCTTTCAATGGACTTAAGATTTGAAGTTAGGTTATGAAGTCTTGAAAATCTATCTGTCCTTCATGCTGACATAAGCTCGAGGTCACGGATTCCTCAGGTTCACGAAAGGACCTTAGCTGACCTGTGATTGTAATTTCATTGATAGCGAAATGAACCTCGTGTCTTGCCACCATGCCAATCATTCCTGTGATCGACCCGTCCGGTAAGACTCCACCCCACTGTCCGTCTTTGGCCAATAAGAGTCGGTATCTGTCAAAAGAGTTTATTATCTTTAATATTCTATTATTATGGTAAGCCATATCCAGAGCCACACTGAAAAATTCGAGATTTATACCACCAAAGGTGTCAGTGCAGGTCAAGACACAGCTATTTGCGTAGGAGAAACATATTAGCCGATCTCTCACACGTTACAATTTCTGATAGCACTAAAAAGCATCTAGAAAACTGAGATGTAGACAATCAATTTTCATCAGAACGTCACTGAATTGAGGGTCATAGACATTCTAGTAACTCTTGCAGGTTGATACAAATTAGATTAAAACTTATATAGATGTGATTTATTGGTTACAATATTGCATAAGACTCAGAGCCCCCAATTCCCTACCATGCCCAACATCCAAGTTCGACAGGAGAAATTTAATGGAATCAAAATGAGGCAGAATAAAAGAAAAGAAGCATCTTGAGTAATGTCATCTTCATAGATCTTATTGCACTTGTGAATGATGAAATTTAGATGAAATTGCCTGGTCCATATTCCAAATTTGTCATTCAAATGTAATCTTTGTATCAAAAGTTACACCAAAAAGCTTCAGATTATCTACTAAATTGATTAAGACTTCCTCAATCAGCAGACTTTGATGCTGTGGCAACTGCGTTCTAGACCGACTGCTGGAGAAGGAATATAAGCATAGAGAGAAGTATCATCAACATATTATTAGTGATGCCAGACCACATACCACGTATATAAAATGAAGAGCAATAGACCAAGAACACTACCCTGAGGAACCCCAGAAGACACAGGGCTAAAGCTAGAATCAACATGAACATGTTTACCAGTTATAAATTCAGTTAAAATACTTCAAACTTTACCACCAATACCAACAGCTTAGTCCCTTCCTAAAACCAAACTGAGTCTGGAAGAAACGCTCTCAAATATACAGAAAGACGTTTGGCCAGCAAATGTTCAAAAACCTTAGATACAATTGGCCTATAATCAGTAGGTGAAGATTGTAGTGGAGCCTTGGGATAGGGACAACGTTACCAGACTGCCAGCACTCTGAAAATGACCCTTTATGAATTAATGGGCGTAATATTACAGCTAATTGCCCACAGTGTCTTAATTGTGCATTATATAGAGTATATAATTGCGCTTCGTATCATGTATCATTTTAACCTGCCCTGAAGGTTAAAAAGTCATCAGACACCTATGTGTGGTTGGATATTTGCGAATTTATGGTACTTTGCACAACTTGAAAACTGTAAGGACTTTTATAAGCGCGTCTCAGCCATATACTGCCTGTATTTCTTTATATCATGTATTTCAACGGCCTTTTAATGGTTCACATTTTTAGGACAGTACGTTCACACAATATTGTCTAATGATTGAGCACATATCTCTGTCGATCGATGAGTTTATCTATCTATCCATCTATTCATCGATCTATCTATATATTATCTATCCATCTGTCCATATATTCACCTACATATCTATCAGTCTATCTATTTATATATAATTTTGTATATTAATTTATCTACCTTTCTATCTACATATGTGCGAATGTCAGTCTGTGTGTCTGTGCGTCTGCAGTGTCATGTCTACTGACGTGAAATTGAGCTTCGCCGCGATCGTGTTCAGGAGGTGGAAGTCGATGCCGGCGTCAGACACTATTTCCCCCGAGGCCTTGTCCTTCATCACGCGGAAGAAGGGCCAGTTGTCCACCACGGAGGACTTCATGAGCCTCCCGCCGAAGTCGCTGTAGACGTCCATGAGGTCCTTGTAGATCGGCTCCTTCAGGAAGTGTTGAGAGCCTTCGGAGGGCGTCCACCACCACGAGCCGACGGTCTGGAGCCTGCGTCGGGAGGAGGAGGCGATAAAAGGGGGTTGGGAATGAATCATAAATGCGTGTTTGAGATATAGTTGCTTTTGGCAAGAAATTAAACGATTTTTATTATTGTATTATTGATATCTTCGTCTGTTTTTATCTCTTTGCCGCACATACATGCTAGAAACAACAATAATAAAGCTATTTTAAAAAGTATAAATAATTCCGTAGCCCCTCTAAAAAATCCTATTTATTTTCCACTTACTTGAGCTGGTCATCCTTGTTGACAAATGACCTCATTAGCTTGTATTTTGCTTCATCCATCTTCAGGGCGACCGAAATCTGAAAAAAAGAGTTTGAAACCTTCTTCCAGAAACCCCAACCAACAGAGAAAGGTAGAAAAAAAAGAATAGCAACCAAACCTCCACCAGATCATAACAACCACAGAAGCCAAACAACAACCAAGGACCCAGCGCCATCGAGGTCCTCCTCACCTGTGTCCCTTCCCTCATATTATCCAGAACCTCCTGAGTGACGTCATCCTCCAGGATCAGCCACCAGTAGATCGTCGGGGATTCCATCTTCCGCTTAAATACCTGGAGGGGGATTTTTGAGATATATATATATTTTTAACGTGATACTTAATTAGTTATATGCTATGTTTGATTGGGCGTTTCATTCGTGATGATTAGTCGGTTTTCTGTTTTGTGATTAGAGGAAAGTAATTAATTAAGATGATAATAATCATTAACGGAATCAATTGAAATGATAAATAAGTAATCAAGTAAAGTAATCAAGTAAAATGATCAATTAAAATTAATCAATTAAAATAATAATCAATTAATTAATCAATTAAAAGTAATCAATTAAAATAATAATAATAATTAAAGGTATGCTTATTTAGCCATATCCCATGTTTGATTACGTGACTGATTAGGGAGAATCAATAATTTTCTGTTTCATGGCTACGGGAATTACTCAAATTAAAGCAATCAAAAATATTAAATAAAAAGGAGTAAAGTCCCACATGTCATACACATCCCATGTTTGATTAAGTGATTAATTAGTGATAATCACTTGATCTTCTGCTTAATAATTACAGGAAACAAATAAAATCCAAGAAATCAAACATATTTGTAAAAAGTAAAGTTTCCCAAATTGTAAATATCCGAAGCTTAATTACATGAATTTCGGTATTTTGTTTTCGAAAACTACAGGTAATTGCAATGTCTGAATTTCCCTAATTGATGATAATATTTCAAGATTCATTTCCACGTCTTTTTTATTTTTATTTATTTATTTATTTATTTATTATTATTATATTATTATTTTTAAATATGAATATGCATTCGGTTTCATATGTGCAAGGTGGATAGGCGTTATTTAATTCAGTCTTTCCCTTACTATTGCGAAAGACATTGGTCTGTCTACCTGTTTGTCTATCCATCGATATATTTACCTATCATTTATATCTATGTGATAGGTCTTTTTGCTGTTTATCTATCCATCTATCTATTCATCCTTCCATATATTTATTCATCTATCCGTCTATTTACCGATCATCGATACTCGTTTCCATCTATATATCCCTCTATTTCTCTATCCATCTATGTGTCCATCCATCCATGAATCCATCTATCTATCCAACAATCTAACCATCCATCCATCTATCTATCCATCAATCTAACCATCCATCCATGCATCCACCTATCTCCATCCATCCATCCACCCATCTATCTAACCACCCATCCATGCATCCATCCATCCATCCATCTATCCCTCCATCACCCAGCCAACCAAACTCGGCACACGCATCATTATTTCCATAGAGTCCAATCTGTCCGAAGATACTGAAGGTATTGGCCCAATCACCCAATCCATCACTGTCTCAGCCGCTCAGCCAATCATACACAAATCATTATTCTCACAGATCCCAACCCGACTAATCAGTTAATCAATCCATCAGCCAACCATTTAGCCAATCGCAATCTACTAATCAACCACGCATTCAACTAGCTGACCAACCACTCAACCAATCTCAACACACTCATCGCTAAAGATATCCACGGTATTGGGAAGCAATCAACCAATTAGTCAATCAATTAACCAATCAACTAATCAAGCAGCCAATCAACTAATCAACTAGCCAATCAACTAATTAACCAGCCAACTAACTAATTAACCAGTCAATCAACTAATCAACCAGGAACCAATCAACCAACCAATCAACTAATTATCAACTAATCAACCAGCCAACAACTAATAACCAGCCAATCAACTCAACCAATCAAACTAATCAACCAGCCAATCAACTCATTACCTAATCAACTAATCAACCACAAATCCAAAACTAATCAACCAGCCAATCAACTAATCAACAGCCAATTCAACTAATCAAACCATCCAATCAACTAATCAACCAGCCAAAATCAACTAATCAACCAGCAATCAACTTAATCAACCAATCAACTAATCAACCAGCCAATCAACTAATCAACCAGCCAATCAACTAATCAACCATCCAACAACAATCAATCAATCAGGCCAATCAACAAATCAATCAACATCCAATCAACCAGCCAATCAAATACCATCAACTAATCAACCAGCCAATCAACAATCAAATAATATCCAATCAACTAATCACCATCCAATCAACTAATCAACCCAATCAACTAATCAACCATCCAACTAATGCAACTAATCAACCATCCAATCAACTAATCAACCGCCAATCACTAATCAACCAGCAATCAATAATCAACCAACCAATCAACTAATCAACCATCCAATCAACTAATCAACCAGCCAATCAACTAATCAACCATCCAATCAACTAATCAACCATCCAATCAACTAATCAACCATCCAATCAACTAATATCATCCCTAATCAACCACAATCAATCTAAATCAACCAGCCAATCAACTAATCAACCAGCCCAATCAACTAATCAACCAGCCAATCAACCAATCAACCACCAACCAATCCCAAGAGACGCCTCATTATCCCGCAGAATCCCACCTGTCTGAAAACATCCACGGTGTTGGGCGCCGAACACATCACGATCACATTGCGGAGGTTTTCTCGGTGGAAGAAAGACTTGAGCTCCTTCTCCAGGGGCGCGATCGAGCCCTGGTACTTGAGGACGGCCATGTCTCCCCCTCGGCGGTGGCTGGCTCTCATCGACGACGCTATACCTGGTGGGGAGAGAGTGGTGTCTGAATATCTGTGTCTGTGTCTCTGGAATCTCTGTCTGTCTGTCTCTCTGTCTCTCTCTCTCTTTCTCTGTCTGTCTATCTCTCTCTCTCTCTGTCTCTCTCTCTCTCTCCTCTCTTTCTCCTCCTCTCTCTCTCTCCTCCCTCTCTCTCTCTCTCTCTCTCTCTCTCTCTCTCTCTCTCTCTCTCTCTCTCTCTCTCTCTCTCTCTCTCTCTCTCTCTCTCTCTCTCTCCTCTCTCTCTCTCTCTCTCTCTCTCTCTCTCTCTCTCTCTCTCTCTCTCTCTCTATCTCTCTATCTCTCTCTCTCTCTCTCTCTCTCTTTCTCTCTCCTCTCTCTCTCTCTCTCTATCTATCTCTATTTCTGTATCTCTCTATCTCTGTGTGAGTGTGTGGAATTCATGAGGAACAGATTGCAACAGGAACAACGAAGGGAAGGACAAGAAAACACACCAATTAGCATTTGTATAAATACTCCTCCATGTACCTCTTGTCATGTATGCCCTGACGAAGCATTAGCGAAAGGGCCTTCGGTATATTCATGTTCCGTGTCTTCCCTTCGTTGTTCCTGTGCAGTGTGTGTGTGTGTGTGTGTGTGTGTGTGTGTGTGTGTGTGTGTGTGTGTGTGTGTGTGTGTGTGTGTGTGTGTGTGTGTGTGTGTGTGTGTGTGTGTGTGTGTGTAGTTGTTATCATATAATCACTGTAAATTCCAGTGGCAACTATGCCGTGGGTATAATTTTCTAACATTATCGTTAGTCATAAACTCCAAAAAGATAAATCATATCACTTGGTCAATAAACGTATTTGGAAGACCGTGGCTGGTTCAAGCCTGATATCTACATGATATCTGAATCAATATCGTTTTTTGGACATACCATGATACTGACATTATATTACACAATATATGACTAATGAATGGAAGAAACTGTATTTCCTAACACTACACAGACATACACACACACGCGCGCGCTTATGCACAGACACGGCAAGTAAAAAACTTAATCTATAGTAAATAAATATCTTCCACAGTGATCTTATACCAAACCACTTTTCACAATGGTAAAGTGAGATTAATTATAGAGATTTTGACAACGAAAGACAAAAAACAAAACCTCTAATTATCATTTCAGACAAGTTACTATTGATATGTGCAAAAAAAATGTATCTCCAGAGAAAAACAGAGATAAACGAAAAAGGGGGAAATATAAACACTAAAAAAAGTTGACGAGGAAGGAGGGAAATGGACCGACACAGAGATAACAGTTATCAAGGAAGGTCTTCCTCTTTTGGCTCAGTGAAGCGAGCGGCCGCCCTCTCTGCTTTCCTTCTGAAATATTTTGCTGCTTCTCTTGGGTCGTCTGTTCTGCCTGACCACCAACAGGAGTCGACAAGAACAAGAACGGTAATAATAACTTTATCAACACTATCATCAATTATAATAAAAGCACCCCCGTCGAGAACACCACCAAACCCACCGCCACTTCATCCACCACCACCACCAACATCCACCACCACCACAACATCCACCAACATCCACCACCACCGCATCCACCAACACCACATCCACCACCACCTCATCCACCTACACCAATCCACACACCACCAACCACCCACACACACCACCACCATCCACCACAACACCTCCCCACCACCCACACCACACACATTCCACCACCACCACAACATCCACCCATCCACCACATCCACCAACTCCAACCATCACCACCACACCCATCCCCACACCACCAACATCCACCATCCACCACCACCACATCCGCACCACGCATCCACCACCACCACAACATCCACCACCACCATCCACCACCACCAACATCCACCACACACATCCATCACACCCACCACCATCCACCATCAACACCACCACCACCCCACATACACATACACACTCATCCACCACCAACACATCCACCACTACCACACATCCACCACAACATCCACTACACCACATCCACCACTACATCCTCCACCACCCTCAACATCCACCACCACCAACATCCACCACCACATCGACCACCACCACCACCACTCACTCTCCGAATGCTGGTCGTACAGCAGATACAGCTGGCGTCCCGTTGAAGATGCGATCAGGAACTCGACCAGTCCAGCCCGACGAGCGATGCGCCACTCGCCCACGTACACTCTGGGGGGGGGGGGGGAATATACCAGTTTACAAGGGAAAAATATCTGTGAGTTTATAGAGAATAGCGAGTAGATTCCAAAAACTTCTCTGAGTTTATAGAGAATAGCGAGTAGATTCGAGTAGGTTGTTATTTGTGTCCACTAGTAATGATAATGATGATGATGGTAAGTAACAATAATAGGAGTAATGGTAACGATGATAAAGAAGAAACACAGTCATGATAATAAGACAATAAAACAAAGCCTATAACAATACCGATAACTACATTCAGAGGAAAACATTGAATATATTAGCAAATGGACAAAGAAATGAAGCTTTAAAAATAACTACTGATAAGCAAAAGACAAGTGTTCACAACATTTAATTAATATATACGAGGCTGTATTCCACATCACCTGGATGTTGTAGCATACCAAAGCATATGGAATAATGCCGCTCGCACAGACATATACCTGTCTACCATACCCCTCACGCCACTTCGCATTGCAGATAGAGATGTATTTTGGGTCACAGCTGCCGTGACCTCTTCCTTATATCGCGTGACCTTTTGGTGACCCGGGCCGTTGCCTTCGCTCAATGGCAGATCCATGGCGTTGGTTGCTTGTCCTCCGGGAACTGTAAACGGGAATTCTGGAATTAGTATTTACTAAACTGTTCATGAGACGATTTATTTATTTATTTATTTATTGACAGAGAGAGAGAGAGAGAGAGAGAGAGAGAGAGAGAGAGAGAGAGAGAGAGAGAGAGAGAGAGAGAGAGAGAGAGAGAAAGAGAAAGAAGAGAGAAGAGAGAGAGAGAGAGAGAGAGAGAGAGAGAGAGAGAGAAAGAGAGAGAGAGAGAGAGAGAGAGAGAGAGAGAGAGAGAGAGAGAGAGAGAGAGAGAGAGGAGAGAGAGAGAGAGAGAGAGAGAGAGAGAGAGAGAGAGAGAGACATACAGATAAGGAAAGAAGCAGACTCACAGACAGACATAAAAAGCGAGAAAGAGAGAGACGAAAAGAGAAAGACTAACAGAGGGAATGAAACAGACACACATACAAACAAACATACAGAAATAGAAAGGAAGAGAGAGAAAAAGAGAGAAAGAAAGAAGCAAAGATACAGAAATAGAAAAAAAAGAGATGAAAGCAAACAATCAAACAAGCAAGAAACCAAGAAATGTGAAGGAAAGATAGAGAAAAATAACATAAAAAACACAAGCTTGACCGAACACACTCACCAAGCACCGAGACGTAAATGGCCAAGAAGACATAATTCCATGCGATAAACATGATGTTTCTGTCTTTCAGGATCTTTCAGGATCTGTCAGAATCTTTCAGGATTTTTCAGGATCTGTCAGAATCTTTCAGGATTTTTCAGGATCGATCTTTCAGGATCTGTCAGAATCTTTCAGGATTTTTCAGGATCTGTCAGAATCTTCAGATCTCTTTCAGGATCTGTCATCAGGATCTGTCAGGATCAATCTGTCAGAATCTGTCATCAATCTTTCAGGATCTTTCAGTCAGGATCTTTCAGAATCTTTCAGGATCAGAATCTTTCTTCATCTTCAGAATCTTTCAGGATCTGTCAGAATCTTTCAGGATCTTTTTTCAGGATCTGTCAGAATCTTTCAGATCTCAGAATCTTTCAGGATCTGTCAGAATCTTTCAGGATCTGTTAGAATCTTTCAGGATCTGTCAGAATCTTTCAGCATCTTTCAGAATTTTTCAGAATCTTTCTTCTAAATCTGATCGTGATTACTAACGCCAAATTCCTTTTCTTTCAGGGTCTGTGGCGTCAGCAACCTGAAAAGAATGAAATTGTAAAATATTATGAGGCGGGTTATTATGTTCATACATACATTGATATATGTGTTTTTTTTTTCTCGATATATGTTTCAGTAAAGTTTTCGAGTAGCAAATGCAATGCAGAATTCATCTGTGCAAATCCAACTTAATCGTTCTTCAGTATCTCACTTGAATGAATAAGAATTATGTTCGTGATTGAAGGTTTTGCTAGAACTAATGATTGATGAGGATAAATTCGATTTTGTATTTAGTAAGTACTGCACATTGGCGTCTCTCTCTCTCTCTCTCTTTCTCTCTTTCTATCTCTATCTCTATCTCTATCTCTCTCTCTTTCTCTTTCTCTTTCTCTTTCTCTCTCTCTCTCTCTCTCTCTCTCTCTCTCTCTCTCTCTCTCTCTCTCTCTCTCTCTCTCTCTCTCTCTCTCTCTCTCTTCTCCCTCTCTCTCTCTCTCTCTCTCTCTTTCTTCCTATTGAACTTTTATCAATATCTTTTCTGAAAAATGTCAAAATATTTCATGGGCGAAAACCGTCTCGTTCTCATCCTATTTTTTCTGTCATAAATATCATTTTTTTTTTCCTCATCTACAAATCTCAAAACCAGCTGTCATTACCACATGCCTTGATACAAAAAGCAAAGAGGAGTAGGATGAAAAATTTATTTACATCTCGGGTTTGGATTTATGATTTGCAACATGTGTTTACGTTTTTTACACTCCAGGCAGTCTCTCAATTTACACGCCAAGAGGAGTAACCTGTCATGCAATCGTATGTCTTGCATGACACTGACCATGCGTAGACGTGGGCATATTAGAGGGCAGATGGTGTCGCTGGTGGGAGGGTCCACGGGGAAGTCATGTCAAGGGAATGTCTTCCGTGTGCATGACAGTTTATTCATGTCAGTCTGTGCACGACGAAACACGTCTCTAACACGCGTCTGGGGTTGACAAAGGAACAACAATGTTCATTCATGTTGCAGCACTTGAAGTCACCCGCCCACCCACACACACACACACACACACACACACACACACACACACACACACACACACACACACACACACACACACACACACACACACACACACACACACCACACACACACACACACACACACACACACACACACACACACACACACACACACACACAACACACTCACGCACACACACACACACATATATGAACATACATACATAAATAAATTGATGGATGGATAGATAGATAGAGAGATAGGTAGGTAGGCAGGCAATACAGGCAGATAAAAAGAGCGATATATAGCCAAAATGTACAAATGTACATGTGCGTACGCATGTGTATGTGAGTCTGGTATGTCTGTGTCTGTGTGCAAACGTGTGCAAATATGCCAATACATTAGATGAAGAAAAAAACGATGAAAGTTATTACACTCTGCCAGCGTCTGAAGCCATGGCCGATTCACTATCTCTCCCAAGACTTAACAAGCCAACGAAAAAGGAAAAGAAAGAAAAAGAGATAAGTAACGCAATACCTCAAAAAATGACACATGTCAAAAGGACACATCATGAATATCTCAAGAATAAGGAGAACGTCTTATTCTTATCTTGAAGTTCATTACATGTGTTATTCAATGCTGTGTCTTTGCTGGGATAGGATTCATGTGCATATTAAGGGGGGGGGAGAGGGAAGGGGGGATGGAGGAATGAGGGGAGGGAGAGAGGTAGAGGAAGGGAAAAGGGCTGAAGAGAGAGAGGAAGGAGAGAGGGAAGGAGGGAAGGGTATATATATATATATATATATATATATATATATATATATATATATATATATATATGTATTATATATGTATGTATGTATGTATGTATACACACACACACACACACAACACACACACACACACACACACACACACACACACACACACACACACACACACATATATATATATATATATATATATATATATATATATATATATATATATATATATATATATATATATATATATATATATATATATATATATTATATATATTATATAATATATATATATATATATATATATATATATATATATATATATATATAATATATTTTACCACAAAAATCATAGATCTCACAAAAACACACCAAAAATCACGATCCGAACCCCTCGCATGACCCGACCGCGTACCCTGAATCGATTCAAGAATTCAACAAACGCTTCTAACTACTACGAATTATGCAAAGAGAGGAAGTAAATACGTACCTATGTTTTTCTCGCCTTCGAATAAATGTCCTGTACCTTCTTATCATTGATTATGTGTTAAAACGCGATAAATGATACTATACACACAACGCACCGCTCTTCACTTGTTTTGTCAGGTTTTGGCCATTTATGATTCCTTGGATTTTCATCCATGTCAATAAGAGTACTTCCCGAATTAAAAGGCAAAATAGGACAATTGTTATCATTATCATCATTATTATCATAATTTTCATTATATTAGTCTTCTTCCTCCTCAACATTATCTTTTTCTTCTTCTCTTTTCTCTTCTTCATCATCATCCTCAACATTGGAATCATTATAATGATGATAACAATATCAGTAATAATGGTAATGATAACAGCAACAGCAATATTGATAATGATTTTAATAATAATAATGATGATGATAATGGTGCTAATGATAATAATAATGATAATAATGATGATAACAACAATAGTAATATCAATAATATTGATAATCACAGGAATAATGATAGAAACAGCAACAACAATAACAACAAACAAAATTATAATGATAATGATGATAATAATAAGGGAAATTATAATGAAAATGGCGATAATAACAAGTATAATAATAATAGTAATGAGTATAATAATAAAGGTAATACTCATAATAACGCCAGCAATGATATCAATAGCATAAAAAATAAGAAAACCACAAAAATGAAAATAGTGAGAAAAAACGAACAACGAAGAAAGGGAACAAGGGAAAAAGAAAAGGAAAAAAAAAAGTATTAAAGATAACACCAACATCAATAAGACACGATTATTAACGAACACTCATATCCATAAATCACGTGACTCCGAACATCTGACACATGTTTAGCATCTGTTGTCCGTCATTGCTTTCTATAATGTCAACACATCAATAACTTAATGGGTTTTGGCTACGTGGTTCCAGTCGTCTTTTGTCTCAATACTGCAATTAATTTCTAATGCATTCGGCAGCATTGTGTCTTAATCTGTGGACATGTGTTGGTCAGGATGAGATATGGGGGTCTGCGATAGTGATGCTGACATATTTTTACTTTTTTTTTTCTCCTTTTTTTTATGGGGGGGGGGGGGGGGGCTTGGGGATAGAAAGGGGGGGGACTGAGGATGGAGAATGAGGGGGGGGGGGCTGGAGATGGAGAATGAGGGGTGTGGGATGGGGATGGAGAGAGGGGATGCTTAAGTAAAGATGACATGATTGGTTATATATCGTGAACTTTCTTCTCTTTTCTTTTCTCTGATTGATAATTCTAGGCATTAAAAATACAGCGTGATATAGCATAATACAGCGTAATAAACGCAATGTGATGTAATTTTATTTGGGGTTGTCAATATGAACAACAGAAGAAGCACTGACAACAATAACTATTTTAGAAAGAAAAAAAAAAAAAAAAAACAATAATAGATTTTTGACCTTTTAATGAATTTTAAAAATCAAACATCCTATTTGCACAAAAAAGGAAAATACCAAAGCAGTAAAGGATAAAAGGAATCGCAATAAGGAAACAAGTATATTTCAATTACCTTCCAACAGAGTGAAATAATAGACGTTCATTAGGCCTCCAAATCAGATTCGTTTGCTAAGGAACTAACTATGAACGCTTTTTCTGGCTATTATTGGAGAGAGAGAGAGAGAGAGAGAGAGAGAGAGAGAGAGAGAGAGAGAGAGAGAGAGAGAGAGAGAGAGAGAGAGAGAGAGAGAGAGAGAGAGAGAGAGAGAGAGAGAGAGAGAGAGAGAGAGAGAGAGAGAGAGAGTGAGTGACAGACATTGTTCAGCGAGTGAGGAAGAGAAAGAGAGACAGGAGGAACTCGTGATGACTTCATTGGATCCAATGCTCTCATGGTCATAGGGCCAAGACGCGCAGAGAGCAACGGGTTGGTGTTTTAGCTGAATAGGGGTTTGCTCCAGGAGAAGGGAGTGAAAAATGAATCTTTTTAGCGTAAAAATTTTCCTGAACTGAACCATTGCACGCACCGTTGACCACATTACCCTTACATACATGATGGGTCCCCGGGCAAACCAAACAACATTGTTGTTTTTGGTAAAAAATATCAATCCTTTTTGTTGTATATATATATATATATATATATATATATATATATATATATATATATACATATATACATATATATATATATATATATATATATATATATATATATATATATATATATATATATATATATATATATATATATATATATGTGTGTGTGTGTGTGGTGTGTGTGTTGTGTGTGTGTGTGTGTGTA